TTACTTACTTACTTTACTTACTATGAATGTAGTTGATAGTGGACCTTATATTTTAGCAGGACTCACTGAAAGCTGCCAAAGATGAATGCAGGCTAATTGTACTTACTGTATCTTTTTATCTGTTTATTATTCACAGGGTCGCCGCTCTAGAAGCAGCTTGCACCAGCAGGACGTCAGACTGGCGGCCACTCACAAGGTCGCAGAGTGTCACTTCATCTTTCCGAATGCAGCAGCAGCAGGCAGCACATGGAGCAGTACCCCTAACTGTCACCAAACTCACCAAGAAACTGAGAGACCGGGAAGATGAGATCTTCCAGCTGTGACATGTTGATTCTGCTGCCTCATCTGATCATTAAACAAACTTTACCAGAAAGACAGATCGCAGGGTTCGGCCTCCGGGATTAATAGAGCATTACAGATAAAGCAACAGATCTCCAGTGATCCCCCTGCTGCTGCATATATTAATATAAACTTTATAATGGGAAGTTACACTGTCTTTTAACAGGTTCTTAAAAGGAATATTGCACTTGTGTAGCCTTCTTGTTTATTTGTTGAGACATAATGTAGATTATGAAGAGCTTCATATTCTCCCGTAGCAATCTTCGGTTTGTTTTCACATGCATGAAATAAGAGCGTGAAATGTTAAAAATGAGAATTCGCAGTCACATGCTGGTTTAGTCACATGACTCTTCATATGGTGAACTCAACAAGTGGTTTGTGTGTCATGCTACCTCACAGCCTGCTAATGCAAAGTCGGCCAAGTTTTCAGACTAAACGTTTTAGTTTATAAATCATGTTCATTGTAATATTTAGAGCTCAAAATTGCCCATTAACTCATCTCTGTCTGTTACTACTGTATAAGTATTTAAACTGTAATGTAGCCAAAGTTTAAAAAAGAGACATGTCTTTTAGAATATTTTGACAGCAATATTTGTATTATTTGTTATGGGCATATTTTTATGTAATACATTTTAGAATTAAAAAAATGATTTATTTCATCAGGTTCATATGTTTGTCCACACTTGTCTTCCAGGGCTGGACTCCAGAAACAGTTGACTGTCATTAGCACTTGATCTTTAAATTTCTGTAATTTCACAGTTCAACTGATTTTTCTCCACTTTACACAAAGAATATCATATTTTAGCAGTTAAATGCTAAATTACAATATTTGACTATTATATAGGGTGAGCCTGATTTTTCCCTTTGTTAAGATTCAGTGTCTTTGTAATGTAAAACCAAAGAATAACACCTGTGATTCAATCTTCAGAAAAACATGAATTATAGGATTAACATTCAACTCATGCAGTCAACAGCATTTTAAGAGTCAGTCTTTTTGTTGATGCTCCTAAACATGTTTTGAAGCCAAGACTACAAAGTGTTGGTGTAAGTAAATGTCCACTGTGGGGTTATTTGCTTTATTATTGGCTGCATTGTCTTCCAAACGCCTCAGTAAATACAGTACATCGTGTTGTTGGAGTATCATCTTTGACCACCAGATGGCAGTGCTGTATTACAGTGGCATCATTCCCTTCCTGTACTCTTTATGCAAGCTGTCCAGCTGTTTTGACTCCTCTCCTGAATACACAACATCAGTAGTTCTGAATGAAACATTGCAAGGTCTCAAATATTAAACATCGGATACCGTTTCGTAATCGAACAAAACGGCTGATATAGTAGAAACCAGTTTCTATTCAAGTTTGGTTTCTGTGAACTTTGACTAGAAAAGTATATATCACAATTTTACAGTATATATATATATATAACCTCTAAACATTAAAAACTTGAGGAGTGACTCAACCAACTTTATTTTTATCCCACATGTTCTTTAAGAACGATGGGGCCACAGTTTTGTTCTTAAATCACTTGTCTTGCGTTGCCAGTCCTCTGCAGCAGTAAGAACAATTCGGACAGTCTTAAGTGAGTCTGCCTGTAGATCTCCCAGTGTCTGACTGACATTTGTATTGTTTCTATGTCATATTGTCCCGTCCTCCACCAGTTTGTTGAGTCCTTTGCAGATCTTGGTGAGGTGGGGTCGGAGGGGGCCACTGGGGTCGTACAGTTTGGTCAGGAGCTCGGGGTCGGAGTAATGGTTGAAGACGTGCTTGATGCGACCGTGAGATTTAGGGGTGAGGTGGTTGTTGACCAGCTTTAGCAGCAGATCCCTGCAGCTGGCCAGGAGCTCCTCCATCACCGACTTGTCAAAGGTAAAGTCCACCTGCACCAGTCAAGGGAAATATAATGTCAGAAGGTCATTACTGTGAGGGTTTCATGCGTTTCTTTATCTCTTACATTTGGAATGACAAAAGACATAATCCAACTGCGAGCAATATATAAGCAGTATACTGCTGCAAACACGTGTAGCTAATGACAGCAACGTTCTTGCAAGTGTTGTAAATATAAAATCTGTGTGGTACGAGTCTATTTATGTTCTGTCACATGTTATGCAAGCAGAGGTGCAAACAAGTCAAATTAAGGTCCCTGAGCGTGTAGTTGCACTTAAATAAAACCAACAAACTCGTTGTAGCATTTTTAGGCCACATAACACATTGACTCTTGAAAACAGAAAGAAAAACGATATGGTAATTGCGTACTATTTCATTTTCAGATAAACAAGAAGTTCTGGCTCTCTAAAGCCTCCATATATCCTGTACATTAAAAGGTTAATATGTGGAAATGTACCTCATAGAAGCTGATAGCTGTCATGGTCCCCATGTGCAGCTTCTTCTTAAAATCTTCAGCTACTCCCAGCTCCTCTGTGCTAAAACGGTTGTTCCTGAACAGCACGCCGACCTTCACGGCAATCTTGATCAGGTTTTTGATCACCTTTTGGGCCTCGGGTTTATTACCCGAGTACTCTTTGGAGACCTGGTAGAGTTCATCCAGGATCTCGCTGGTGGTGTCGTCAATGAACATTTGGACGGAGCTTTTGGTGGCCATGGTGCTGAGGATCTTCTTCTGCGCCCTCATGGCCATGTCCTTTGAGCTGAAGGCGTCCATGTTTGCCTGAATTGTCATGGAGAAGGAAAAAGTGTTTTGCATTTTATTAATAATGTTGATGACAGATTTGTGTCAGTAGTTGTCAGCCAATCATAGAGGCAAAATGATGAAACACTTGCAAGTACAGCTTTCTCTGAGTGGATTGATTGCTCATTGGTGTGTATGAGACAGTTGTTTTTCAACCAAAATTTGGATTTGTCTTTTACTGCAGTTGGAAAATATTCTCTGCCACTGTCCGTACCTGACACCAGATCACAGCTAATCCAGAGCCTCAGTCAATAAAAATAGGAGTAAAAATCACAAGAAAACTCCAAGGCACTCTTAAACTATTAAAATGCCTTATTGTCACAGCATGGGGTTAATTAGGCAAGTTAGGCCTAAAAACAAACTCTGACACATTTAACCTTAGTCAAGGAGTCAAAATATATCAGAGTCTAAAAGAACAGGAGTATTTACACTGTTTACTTTTAACAATAGGAAAGCCTATTGTACCAAAAATACATATAGACGCAGCTTTAAAAAAAGAGGAAGCCCAACAATTTCACCCCTGGTTGCTGCTCGGCTCAACTTGGGTTTTTACTGCCAGACAATGAGCAGCTTTAGTGAAGTAGTTGGAGGTTAAGTGCCATGTTCAAGGGCCAACTGTTTGTTGTTATGGAGGCTGGCGAGGGCAACACATGTTCACTTTTCCTCATCCAAATTCCCCAGATCATGTGGGGATTTGAACTGGCGACTCTCCAGTCATTAATTTGACTCTCTAACCTTCAAATTGCCACAGATCCAAACACTTGTTCACACACATCATTGAAGTACATATCAGTGGCACAACTGTTCAATTCAAGCTCAAATATTTGGATGTTTATTAAAATAAGCAGTAAACAGATATCCCCACAGTGCTAATTTAACAGACACTGAAAATACAATGTCCAATTTGAAACACATTCATGTAATGTTAGTTCCAGTGTTTGTTTTTGTATCTGACATGCACATATGATGCCAACCGGGAAAAAGTACCATGGAAGAGACTCCACAGAGGCTTTTAATTTCTCCACTGAGATTTTAACCACACCTAGCATCCACCACAGAGAACCCCCCACCCCCACCCCTGGGGAGGTCATCAACATGCATACAGCACGCAATGACACAACTGAAAAATCCACTGTTTATCTTTGATTGTCAACACAGTTTGAATTAATTCCCTTTTAATTACATTTAATTTTTCCCTAATCTCTATGAAAACAGGCAGATTTGAAGTGAGTCATTCACAGAGAAAAAAATACATTGTATCTAGCTGATGCTCTTATTAGAGAAGTTTACACAGACTGGGCAAGCAAAATAAGGTTCAATTCCCACATCAACAAAATAACAAGGATTTAAAGGATTAGAGTAACTTAACTCTTACAATTTTTGGAGCAATTATGTGTCCTTGTAGAATACTTATGCTTGATACATAAGTCCTACTTATATCTCCAATCCCACAAACACACACACAAAGAACAATTAAAGTCTTGCTTAACTCCTACTTCACCTTAATCTTAGTATTTGCGATGAGTAAGACAGAATCAACAAAGACATACAGTATCTGTTGCATGCATCAGTGCACTGAAACTGCTCTGTATCCTCTCCTACTTCCTGTGTTCCATTTAGCCGTATATTCACTCATTTATTGGCACGGAGAGTGCGAACAGGCATGAAATTCAAAGAACAGTTACTGAATATGTTTTAGTGTAATTTTCCCCACTAAATCCCACTTCTGGCCTGTGTGGACAAGTATTTGAGAGGAACAGGTAGTCTGCATAGCTGAGGCAGGTCCATGCCTGCTGTTTCCAGATTGCATGAGTTGTGCTGCAAGGCCAAAAAGTGAGCGCCCTGAATGCAGTGGCTACAGTAATTACTGGTCTTGGGTCTGCCTTTGGGTAAAACAACAGCTGATCTGTTATTGAAACATTTTGTGCATTAGCAACAGCATATTGTCCATAAGCTGCCGGTTAAACGACTGCCTTATGGCTGCTTTAATGTGTTTCTTTCATGCCTGTTTGTGCTTAGTAGACAGCGTTATTCAAATGATGATGTTCTCATTGTCCAACTCCAGTGATGCACAGTCAGCACTGTCTGCAAAACGTTTCCACAGCTCACTAATAAATGAAAAAGTGATCCAGTAACGATCATATCATGCAAATAGGCAGCATTCGCTCTGACTCTCCCCATCCCTGGTGTGCACCCCAATCCCAGCTGCAAAATCCATAATAAGCAAACAGTCACTTTTATAGCATATCTCACTAGGTTCCATTTTACATGCACAACCATTCATTTTGAACAAGTGTCACATTTCTAATAGCTCGCTTTGTTACAAAAGCTTTGGGTTCCCTGTGGGGAATTAAAAAACATTCATTAGATTAATTTCCCTTAACGGTGATAATGGAAGTGGAGCAGCGTGATAGCTATTTCAGATTCATGCTTCAATCTCATTTATTTGCTAAAAAGACTACAGGGATTTGAGGGACATGCACAGTGTGTAGTCATCAGGCAGTATTCCACATAGTGAAATGTAACTCCTCAGCTGGAGACTGCTCGCTGCTTGGCTTTTTGTGCATCTACATTGTTTATTTTATGCAGATCTGTCAGGGGGTTGAGGCCGTTTGGAGAGCGGTGAAACATTTCTGTGGTACAGCAGCACATTGCCATGAAAACACTTTTCTGTAATGGACGTCATTCACTCGGTCACATCGAGGACGCTTTCAAAGTTGAGCATCAATTTTCTGGTACAGATGGATTGAAGAGGGCTTTTAAGCATCGGTTTGTTGTTGACATCCACCAGGGAGTGACTGTATTACATGTTCAAGTGTTTGTTTCCCTCCCAAATGCCTGCCTGAATTGACAAGCACCTACATTCGACTGTGTGACACCTGATAATGTCGGAAGAACAAAATGAAAAACAAGAGAGCAGAGGTGGAACTATCCCAGTAGAGACGGACAAACTTTGAGGAATCTTTAGGTTGATGGACGGTCAAACAAAGATTGCTGATTGGTGGAGCCATCCAGGCAGGCAGGAGAGGTAAATATTTAGCATTCCTCAGATGACTCCAGCATTGAGCGGTTTGTGTACATGTATAAACTTGTTCGCACGTGGATGTGGATGTGGATTCAGTGGTTTCCGGTTGTTTTTGCGTTCAGGTATTTTTGATAATTAAAGAATGTGTTGGATTTTCTGTCTGAATTTGTCTTCTTGTGTCCTGCATATATATAGGTGTGTGTAAGTATGACCTCTGTCCTATGTCCCCTCACAGGACTCAGAGGGGGATTCCTGAAGCCCCCTTTGACTCAGCCAATCAAAATGTGCCTTGTACTGTTATTAGAGTGCAGCAGGGCCTCGCTACTATGAGCTGACAGATAGACATCCTCACTGAATTTCAGTACCAGGCTTGGTGCTTGGTAGTCTGAGTTGTAGCTGATGAGACCGAGAGGAGGGGGGTTAGGTCTATTTTAGCTGGCCGTGGCCTTTGATCAGATTGAACAATGAGAATGTTCCAGAAAAAAACAACATAGAAAAGCCATACCACTCAATCAGATGAAAACAAGGACGCTATTGTTGAAAGGTCATCCCTGAGCTACAAGGGTGGTTGTATTGAACTGGTACAAACCTTATTATCTCCTACTGGACAACCAAAGAGGATTAAATGATAACAGTGAAAATACAACATCTCTGTGTCCTTAGACAGCAGCTTTCTGTGCAAGATGAGCGTTGTGCCCGGATGAAGTATCACTTCCGCTGTGTGTTTTTAACTGTGGGCAACTGCGCTGAAAGTTGCATGTGTAGATGTTGTTTTTAACTTGAACTTCTCGTGTAACGTGTAACGCTTACTGCAGTGGCACATTCAATTCTTTAAGTTCGTAAGGATTGCGTTGGTTTTACATACAGTTTGTTAATTGCCTTCTGCATTTTTTCTGCATACAAAAATTTCTCCACGAACATTCTTTTAGTAATAGACAAGAAAGCATTTTGAAATCCTCAAAAGGCTCATATTGCAGTTTCTCTTTCAACATTGCTCAACTCGTCTGAGTTGCTCAACTCTAGCACCCATCTACATGCCTCAAAAGGGAAGCGAAACAGGCAGCAGTTGGCTAAACGGCGGGTAGTTGTCAGCAGAGGCCCACAGGTTGTGACCACCACAATGTGTGTGACATGGCACCCTTCCCTTGTCTTTCTCTCTTACTTAATGAGCTTCAAATCAAAGTAGGCCAGTAAAGGAGGGAAAGTCCACTACCTCGAGATTTGAGTTGAGCAACTCCTGGCATGTGCAAACAAAAGCGTGAGCCCTACATCTGTGCATGTCACCGTACGTGTTCCAGCAAGACTGTGTACATGCATATCTCCCAACTCGCACTCAAGATGGGGAAGTGGAGAGAGGTCACAAATTTGTTCCAATCATCCCTCTACTCAGTCTGTCTGGGTGCCAACAATGATTACTCATTTTTTACCAGACAAAAAAGGAGACATAACACTGATTTGGGCCCAGAGGATTTGTCTTTTTCTTTTCTTTTTTACTGGCACATGAACACGGCAGAAGTGTCTTACCTGTGTGTGCTGAGTCCCCCTCCCTCCTGGTCTTTGTCAGATATCTTTCTCTCCCTCTACTCTGTGTCTCAGGTTGACAGCACAGGCCAGTTGATTTAATGAGATCCCTTCATCTTCACCACGAGCAGAACCAAAACCCAAAAAACCAGCCCTCCCACAGCGCTTCTGTCAGTGCTGCCACCCTATCTTAAGATAATGTTGAGTTGCACTTCCTTGAGGAACTAAATTGCTATGACACACCCCTCAGCGTGTCTCTCTCTCTCTCTCTCTATCTTGTTTCCCTCTTAAATTCAAATTCAAACTCTTCGAAACTACTGTAGTTCTCTCTTCCCCTCGCTCATCACACCTTGGTGTTTCCTCTGATTCTGCCTGTCTCTCTCTCTCTGCTCTTTTCCGTGTTGCTGACGTTGTGCCTCTGCTTGTTCTGACAAGTGAAAACCCCAGAAAGAATTTAGCAATAATCCAGTGATGCAGCCAGTTGAAAAGGGAGTGGCTTAACCCCTTTTTTTGTGTTCACCTTCGCTGGAATGCAGCTCCTGTCATTGCTGCCGAGCACTGTCCCTCCCTCTGTCTCTCTTGTTCAAGGTAGAATCAAAACAATGAATAGTTAGCAGCGTGTCACAGACTGACACACACGTGCGCACACTCACAGCTCACTGACACTGACACTGATGTAAAGTTTATGGACAAAACGCAACATGATGCAATTCTTTAATCCTGCTCTATGCATTAGTGTCTCTGAAGTCTGTTTGCCTGTGTGTTATCATCTTGTAACACTATATTTTGTTGTCCTTTTATTGTCCATTTAAAGTTACAGAACAATTGAATGCGCTTAATCACATTTTTGTGTTCAAGACTAGCTTTCATTTATCATTTCTAAAAGTACTTCAATGTTGTCAGCCTTTTGTGTTTCTTTTTAGCACTTTCGATTGTGTGTATTGATTTAAATTTGGTCCTGAAGCAATAATATTTTATTCAAGTGTATTTTTTTTGAAGTTGAAGTGACAAACTAAACTTGGACTTGAACTAACTGCACATAAGTCTGGCACATAGACATCCTTATGATGTAAAGGAGTGCACTTTGTCCCTGATAATTAATCCTGGTGACAAGTACACTTTAGAAAGTAATTCCCCCTAGAGCGGTGAGTTTCATTGTAGTCACAGCATAGGCTAATAAAATCTGAAGTCCAATATCACTCTGATGAATGAAGCTTTGTTTGAGCTGGTTGCCATAAATCTTGTCTGCCTTGTCAAAGTCTTATTTGAGTGAGTGAAATATAAATATAGATGAGGGTAATATAAGTTATAATCAGGAGTAACCAATATTGAGCCTGCCATTGTTCACAACAGAGCAGCCAGTCTTGGCAGCTACAGCAAACATGTCCGACATGAATTCAACGATTCATTTAGAATCAGGAAGTGTCCCCTGATTCTGGAGCTGCTTGTTTATCTGTAGGTTTATCTGAATGGCAACCAGCTGTGCTGAAGTGCTGTTGGCTAAAGCACAGGCCATTCAAAAGGAGCCGTCCAATGAACTCTCGCAAATGTTAATTGTTGTCAGATGCCAGGGGTTAAAGGTGACGCAGAGACCCAGCTGGACTACGAGGAGTGCCTGGACAGGATACGAGCCCACCAGTGTGCGGTGTAGGCTGAAACACACCTGCCTCTTTGTTTTGCCTCCCACTTTGTCCTTCTGCAAGAAATTAACTCAGAGAGAAGTCATGGTAAACTTTGCAACTGCAGAATGAGGTCTGTCACCGTGGCAACAGACAGGAAGTAGTGCTTAAGCGGTTTCCTGATAGCTTCCTCTTTATCGTGTAATGACATCTCACAAGGAAACATCAGCGAGGAGCACTCAGCTGAATATCTGTGTGTGTGTGAGTGCAGGCTTGCATGTGTTTGTGAGTATAAGTGAGAGTAGTGCGGGTGAAGGAGCGCACTTGTCCTGAAATGAGCTCTTACCTGTCTCACCTCCGCACTGTACACAGCTTACACACATTGCCTCTTTTGGTTATGAGATAATAAGAGAAACTTCAATTATGTCACTTATCTTTCATTAAAAGATCACATGGACCTTCAGCCACCAACCTTACACACACACACATACAGTCAGTCGCATAATGGAAGTGTGTTATCACCAGATGACTAAGACAGGAATAACTGACCTCATAACCACTGAGGTCAGGGAATTGCGCCTGAAGATTCGGAGCCTGAATTGGATGGAGGATTTGGTGAGCTTAGGTGTGTTCTACGCTTGTGCTGTCTTTCCACTCGCAGCGTTATAAGATAGATGGTGAGCACCGATCCAGATGAACAGATGCTGGTTCAGGGGGGCCAGAGATTTAATTTGATCAGTCTGCTGCTAACAGGGATTCACTTTCCCCCCACGGCATGAGCAGATACAGAACCCTTCTATCTCACTTGTTTTTGGGTTGTTTTGGTTTTTTAGATATGAAGAACCGCAGGGAACCAGGAAATAACTCACTCACTGTTCCCAGACCCTGGTTTATTAGCTAGTTCATTTATTCATTAACTTGTGGTTACCCTATCACCTCCTAGTGGCTATTTCAAGATATGGCAGTGCCTACAGATAAGCTGCTGTGTGTGATTCTTTTTTGTTTTGTGCTGAAATGATTGAGTTAATTAGTCATTTAACAGTTTGACGATTTGTTGAATATATGCCAAATATTTGTCTGTTTCAGTCTTTCAAATGTGAGGATATGATACTTTTCTCTGTTTAGTTGAATAACCTTGAGTTTTGGACTGTTTGTTGCCCAACACAGGACATTTGAAGATGAAAATCCACCATAGCTACAAGCCAAAAACAGGTGCATTTTGGTTATACCTATAACTGGAAGGCTGATGTTTTTTTAACCACTGTAACCAGATGAGTATGAGTGTCATGACCCAACTACAAAATAATGAAAACATGACAGTTTTAGTGGCTGTACATACAGTTTTATATAAATAAACGCTATCATACAGTGAAACAAATGCAGTCAGTTACATACAGAAAGTAGAACCAGAACTCTTTAAGACAATGTTGTGAAGGTCTAGCCAAATACCTACTGAATTACCATACGCCTAGTTTAAACAAAATAAAATACAACCTCTGATGATGTCTAGTCTCAGTGAATTAAATGAAGCATCCATAGAAGTATTTATTTCTGTTTCTGTGGAAGCTCCTGCCTCTGTTAAAAACCATGTAAGCCCTGTCACAAAATGGCTTACTTTAATTTTCCTGTAATTTGTTGTCATTATACATTTGAACATAATTCCTGCAGCAGTAATAGCAGTGACTTCGTGAATGGCTTGTAGAGCATAAAGACTCATTGTCATGGCTGTCGTTACATGTCATACAATTCTGAAGTTCTCTGTTTCTCTGTGCATGTGCTGTTCGTGGTTAGAGGACATACTTCCTTTTTTATGAAACAGTCGACATAAGGAAGCAGTTGGCATGTTGTTTAAGTATGCAGGCTGTTGATATAAGTGATCTTAAAAAACGTCTAGGCAAATACTTTGATGCATACAATACAAATGGACTTCGGTGGGAAAAGTGTTGGTCTTCGGTTTAATTCAATTCAATTCAATTCAGGATTTTATTTGTATAGCGCCAAATCATAAAATAGAGCAGATCTAGACCATACTCCTTATAACATTTTATTTAAGTTGCCGTATAACTCTCATTTTACTCAAAATGTCACAAAAGCCTATATCTCTCAAAACCGGTCGGGATGACATGACATTCAGAATGGGTTAAAATGCAGATCGCTGATAACGTTGAACTGTCTGCTTTGTCTTGCCTCTGATTAAACTTCAATGATATTTTCAGCATCACACCCTCATCACATGTTGGAGTCGTATTGTAATCTCAAACTACAATCGTCTGCTCACAGGATGGAGCAGGCGGCGCTGCGCATGGGCAGGTTGGTGGGCAGCTTGGCGTACTGCTGCCTGAAGCTGTTTCTCTTGTTGTTGAGTAAAGGACCTGGGTTCTCCAGCCCGTCAGCGGGCGGCGAAGACTCTGGCATTGCGTTTCCCTGGGGCACATCCAACTTGGCCCCCTTGTTGTTCTTAGTCTTTTTGGGTTTCTCCTTCTCCTGTGGCTCGGTCGAAATGGCGGGGGGTTCGTTAGCGGCCTCTGGTGGGGGCAGGGTGTCCAGGGGGAGGTCGCTGGGGCTTGGCTTCCCTTCAGCTTGCTCATCACTGCCGGTGATGTGGAGGTTGGAGGCCATGCGCTTGGCATTGGTGCTTGTGGAACTAGTGCAGTTACAAATGTGTCATTCACAAAAGACATAAGAAACATTGTCTTAAGTATTACTGTAATCATGCTGTCAGAAATTAAAAAGTTTTCCGTTTGGCTCCAGGGATGATAGTTGTTTGAAGACTAGTCTCTTGGATCTGATAGGGGTTTATTCCTGCCAGTGGCTTCTCTCACAATGCAAAAAATATCCGTAAAAAATCATTCAGCCTAGTATTAGGTCCTTTAATCTCATTTATTCAAACAAGCAAATAAATCTGCCCTTGAAGTGAATCATTATTTGTTATTTTCAGTGACATCAATACATTTTATAATAATTTTCCAGAACAGCACTTACTGGCCCTTTTCTGTTTGGTTTCAAGATACACTGCACTTGGAACAAGTGTTTAATGAAAAATAAGTTTCAAAAGGCTTGATATCAGACTAAAGCAACTGTTAAAATTGGTGGTTTCTGCAGTACTGTGTCGCCTGTTTTGTCGCACACTGTTTTTTTTTTTTTTTTATGGTTTTTATTTTTGTGCCTCAGTAAACCAAGGCACAAAAAACACTGTCCCTTCTGAGTGAAAATTTTGTTTTCGGCGGTCAGCATGAGTCCTTCCGACAAACAAAACCACGTAAAACTGCCTTTTAGTTTGCTTGCTGTCTGGTGCTGCAGGGGGCAATGAGCACAGCTCTGACTGAATCAACAGGGGGCATCCTGAGTCCACTCTGTGTACAGAAGAAAAGTGATTCTTTGGTGCTGACTGCTCTGCTTTTGTCTACTCACCCATTAGAGCTCTTGTCCTCAGAGTCTTTCTGTTCACTGCTGTAGCGCAGCTCTGCCGGGGTCTTGAACGATAGATCTTTCTTTCCTTTCAGCCAGTAAGTCTTCATGTAGCCTTTACCCTGGAAGATGTTAGGGAAGTAGTGTTCTGATCACAGATGTGGTATGAACATGTAATCTAAAATTCATTAATCAATATTTAAACTGGGAGGCCCCAAATATCTCAGGTATTGGTACAATATAGTATAACACTAATAAACACTTCATTTTGGAATAAAGACATTCAAGTATTACAGCTATAAGATGTAAAGTATTAGTCATAATGTCCATCTCAATCAGTGGATGGTATATAAGAATTTAGCAAAAAGTATGTGTTATGGCTCACCTTTAC